GTTGCTCTGGAAAGTTGAGGGTCCGGGTGGGGGGGGGGGGGGTTCGGAGCGCTGGAGTGGTAGCTTCAGGGCTTGAGGGGTGTAGTTGTAGGGTTTGGGGTTTCTGAGGTTGCAGTGCGAGTTTTTGTGATCCCCTTTAAATTAGAGTGCATTAATGGAACCCCCATGGCCCATGGATCCTTTAATTAACAGAACCCCCCTGCAGAACCCTGAAAGAAACCCTGAGACGCTCTCAGGAATGCAGCTGCAGCAGAGGCGGGAGCTTTTCCGGGTAGAAATTACATTTACATGGATTTAGGATTTCAGGGTTTAGGGTTTTAGGATTTCGGGTTTAGGGTATTACTGTAGGGTTCCGGGCTCAGGAATTTCCGGCTTGGGGGTGTTTGGAGTTTGGAGTTATGTGGGCTGAGCAGGTAGAGCAGCAGCTCACCGGACCCGTTGGTTGAAGTTTCGGCTTTGTTGCACTTTTTCTGCGCCGCGATTAGACTACTTTTCCAACCTTTAAGCCCCTAAACCTTGCAAGTTCATACGTAGAGGTTTCAACCTATGAATAGAGGATACACGCCCTGCGTAGTCGACACTTCGGCTTGTGTTCAGTCATGAAGCCCGGACCTTAAACCCTAACCCCTGAACAAACTCATGTGCAGGTGTTGCAATATAGTCATAAACAGATATGTAAATACAGGTATGTGTATATATATATATATATACATATATTTATTTACCTATACATACATTAAGATAGGTACACATACACACAGGTTGGTATACATATGGATTGCTTGTAGCCTACTTATGAGGAGAGAAACCAAATTTATGGCATCTTGAACCACAGCCCGGTGTGCAAAGGCCTGCCCGGACGTCGAAGCCAAACTGGCAATTCTGCGCAGCGCCTGGGGCGATCCCGAGCGGAAGATGCGACGAAAGGGGGGCACAGAGAGCAAAGATGCCAAAAAGGGTCTGTTGGGGTTTGGGGGTTGGGGCTCCTCTCAACGTTCATTAATACGGAAAGAGTTTAGCAAAGTTCTGATGATGTTGCGAATCTTCAAGGACCCTTCGAGCACATCATCGGTTTGGGGCTTGGGATACTGGGGGTTATCGAAAAAGATGCTTGAGGTTTGGGTAGCGCTGACCATGTACTTGTTTTGTTTTTGTTTGGATTTGGGATTTCTTATACCTCTCGCACACATTTTTTGGTATTTGCATTTGCGCTTCAACTCAACAGAATCTAAGCTCTACACCCTACATGTAAACCCTTAGAGAAGCCTACGCCCTGAACCCAACCAAGAAGAGATTCCAACCCTTGGTAACCGCAAAGATGTAAGCTCTACGCTGCCTTCTTACATGATTGCAAGCCTCAAAACCCGAGGCCAGAGGCTTTGTAGGTAAAGGTCAATGTTGCTGACAGAGACATCCTGGACCAGTGGCAGGTCACAAGATCGGCTCTAGTTAGGGGTTTGTGCATGTCCTGGCTGCATGTGTATAGCAGCTCTACAGCTGCGAGGGCCTTAACCCCCAAAGCGTAGAAGATAAGATGCACATGCCTCGTGACTAGTTGCATACTTTGCGGCAACTGGAGGTCTTAGCTAAGGTCGAGGTCACATGCTATACAAGCCTGCATCAGTCCAAATACGATTCCTCAAGGCTGCTTAACTTACATAGATTCGAAGTATACGGGCCAGTAGACCACATTCGTTCCCTTAAATTTAAATTTAAATTTACTTAAAGGCACCCTTAAAGGTAGACCACATTCGTTCCATCGAATTTAATTAAAGGCACCCTTAAAGGAAGCCCGATTAGGCTCGGGGCATACCGAGGTCCTCTCCTTCAGTGGCCGGAGCCCTTAGACCTGCGGGGGTTCGGGGTTTTGCGGGTTCAGGGGTGTTGGCTTGGGATTTTTCGGGTTTAGGGTTTAGGGTTTAGTCATAACCCTAAACCCAACCCAAATTCCTCATCAGGCTCATGTCATTATGGTGGATTGCAGTAGATGCTGCATGTCTTCAGCCTTTGCACGGAGGCTTGAGGCCCATCTGGCTGGATGCGATTCGTAGCAGCGTGTGCGGGAAAGTTTGCTTTGGCATTACAGCCCCTCCAAATCCCAGATGGCTGTCAACTCCTAGACCTCTGAACCTTATAGAATTCCATGCCTGAACCCCAACCAAGCCTGTCGGTGTGGAGCAGCTGCACATTTTTGATCGGAGAGCCACAGCACTTCGCTGTGTTCCTTCATCATCCCACTACACATCCCAACACCCTGCTATAGTTCTTTAGGCTTCTTACCAGAATCAACCTTAACGAGCCGACCACAGAACGCCTGCGAACACCCAAAGTGACAAGAGCCTCATCGCCTATCATCATGCCATGAAAGCTGTAGAATCTCTTCCCAGGCCTTGGAGATTTGGTCTGATCCCTGGAAAGGGGCGAAGCTGGCAGCTTGTGTTTCCGTGAGATCAGTTCTTCTCCAAAGCTATAGAGTCATTGTAGAGTTTTGAGCACATTTCAGATTTTAGAGGTCAGCTCAGGCTTCATAGATTCATAACCCCATAAACCCGAAACCCTAAACCATCAACCGTAGCTGTAGGTTCCATCATGTTAGGGTCTGGGCCACTAAGATTATAAGGTTTCCTAGCACAGCTACAAAAGTTAAACCATCTTGAAGAAACCTACAACACCGTGCGAAAGCCCTATGAGCCTTTCATAAAACACTGCATATAAAGCCCTTGCCAAAATTCCCCATGAACGCCTTCTACTACAACCCCATAAAGCCTCAAAGAAGCTGAAAGCCCTAAACCTTGAACCCTAAACCCCTAAACCCCTAAACCCCCAAACCTTGAACCCTAAACCCCTAAACCCCTAAACCCCCAAACCTTGAACCCTAAACCCCTAAACCCCTAAGCCCCCAGACCTTGAACCCTGAACCCTAAACCCCTAAACCCCCAAACCCTAAACCTTGAACCTTGAACCCTAAACCCCTAAGCCCCAAACCTTGAACCTTGAACCCTAAACCCCTAAACCCCTAAACCCCAAACCCCGAAACCCCTTGGTTTCACACTGCAGACCTCGAGCCATATGCCTCGCCTGGATTGTCCGAGTGTGAGCGCCGAAACCCCTAAACCCCTAAGCCCCCAGACCTTGAACCCCAAACCGAAAGGTCTGGGAGCGAGTGGTTCCGGAGAGCTGAGTGCGGAGCCTCGGGGGGCCGAGGGAGCCAGGGAGTCGAATTTGGGGAGGTCGAATCCGGTGGAGGCTTTAAGGTTTAGGGCTTAGGGCTTAGGGTTTAGGGTTTAGGGTTTAGGGTATATGGTTTAGGGTTTAGGTCTTAGGGTTTACGGTTTAGGGTATATGGTTTCGGGTTTAGGGTTTAGGGTGCATGGTTTAGGGTTTAGGGCTTCAGGGCTTACGGTAGAGTCGCTGCAGACCGGATGCAAACGGGTTTTAGGGCTCGAGGGTTTAGGGGTTTAAGGTCTAGGGTTGAGGGTTCAGGGTTCAGGGTTTCATTAAGTTCAGGGTTTAGGGTTTAGGGCTTCTTAACAGGGTTTTTACCGGTTTGGGAATTGAGCTACAGTTGAGGGTTCAGGACAGAGCTTGTAAAAGACATTGGGTCTGCAGTCAAGGTCAATTGTAGCACTGATGGCCGAAGTTGATACAAGTTTATATGGCATTGAAACAGCATCTCGAGGCTGGGTGGAGAGTTAGGGTAGGTGCCGGGCGTGAACACGTAATTGTATCTGCGCCTGGCTCCTGGGTTTGGGGTGTCTTGGTGCTCAGATGGCAGCTAACTCTAAACCCTAAACCCTAAACCCTAAACCCTAAACCTAACTCTTGTAGTTTCCAGCCACATTCGTCCAGTTCAGAACAGACTCAAAGGCCTCTTGCGCTCATTGGAAGGTTGCAGACTTTGTCAGCGGGTGCATGGTATGCCATTCATTGGTGGAGACCTCAGTTAAAGCAGGAGCGAGTCAGGGTTTTAGATTTAGGGTTTAGGTTTCACGGTTTAGGGTTTAGGGTCCCTACACCTTAAATCGGGGGAAAGCTTTGGATGGATTTCCAGCACTGGGTTTGGGCTGGCTGCTAGTGGTTACCATGTCCATGGGATGTTCAGCACCAAGCATGCGGAGCAGTGGCACCCTAAACCCTAAACCCTAAAACCCTAAACCCTAAAACCCTAAACCCTAAACAAACCCTAAACCCTAAACTATGATGCATTTGAGGGGTCCGATCCATTGCTGTGCGCCTCGGTACTTCGGAGACAACGAACCGATAGCAGCATTCCGTGACAAGAGCAGTTTCTGCTTCGCAGCACCAGACTTCACATTCCTGCGGCTGTTGGCATTTCCGGGCGGTCGCTATGATACCGGATCCAAAAATGACGACAGTTACATACAATACCACTGATTTCCGCTTGAATCCACCTTTGTAAGGGTCGGTGTTGTTGACGCGGCAGGGCAATGTCAATACCGATTGTTCACGACTGCCACAGACTTCCTGGTCCTTGCCACCGCGACCCCTGCCAAACCATTCAACATAGAGTTTCACAAGACCGCGTGAAATCCATGTTACGCTAGGCCGCTAGGCAAGCTATAACTTGTAGCTGATTACAATAAGCTTCGACTACTTGTATGTCTTCACCACGCCTCCATATTTCGATATGCATTCAACCTAGGTGGCAATCTGGGATACTTTGTAACCATGTCTAGTGATTATGAGATTAAACAAGAAGCCTAAATAAGTACTAATATTTTTTGGGGGTTCCTTATTATCAATATAGTCTATAGGGCTCCCAAAACCCTATTCTAATTATTAAGGCCCTTAGATTATTGGGCCCCTATATATAGAACCCTATCATAGATCCCTTATAGAACCCTGTAAGGATCTCTTTAAACGACCCCCATTGTAATTATTAAGGCCCTGTCTCAGGTTTGGCTCCGGCTGGGAGACCACGCGTGTCAACTTCCAGGATGCCAGCTCCACCGTGCAGCTGAGCAGCACCAAAGACGGGATTTTTCACAGGGTTTAGGGTTCTGGGTTTAGGGTTTTGGGTTTTGGGTTTAGGGTAAGACGAGCCTGAAGCAAAAAAGGGTTTACGGTTTACCCTAAGGGTCCATGTGCCCAAATAGTAGATACTTTGGCCCCAAAGTACTCAAATAGGGACTACTTCATGGCCAAAGTATCTACTATTTGGGTACATGGACCCTTAGGGTTAGGGTTTAGAGGATGTCCGTAAGGACGTGTAGGATTTTGGTATAGGGGTTGTAGAATGGGGCTTTCAGTGGAGTTTATCAGGTTCTTGATTCGTGTTGCAGGACATTCATCCCTGGTGTTCTCTGTGCTTTCCACGTAGTTCATTCGCAGATTTGGGCGGGTTGTGAGGTACATTGCGGTATCATCATACAGGTAGGTATAACCGGCAGGTACTATACGGAGGCCGTAGCTTACTGTTCAGATCCCCATAATAATATCCAGCAGAACCTTTGTAGGATCCTATTCAACCCTCATGTAGACTTGTATCAAGAACCTGTTGGACTACGGCTTTCATTGGTTCGCCTCAGTTTTTGAGTGGGCCTTTGGTGCTCGCACAGTGAAGCCCAAGAAGTCCTAGTTTACGCGTTCCTTTCGGTGTTCTTTTGTCGGCTTTCTAGTATAGGCGGCTCAGGATTCAGGGTTGGGCCCTGCATTTGCAGTGTCTGGGTTCAAAGAAAAGGGGTCCTGCATTTGGGGCGTAAGGGCTGGGATTCCAGAACCTTTCTTGTGAGCCCCTTCTGTTTAGGATCAAGGGTGACTGAGATCTTGTACTCAAACCGAAGTATGACTCGAAACCCTAAACTCTCAACCCTAAGCCCTGAACCGGACATGCGAGAGTGAAAAAAAGCCGGACAAGACAATGTAATTCCATAACCTTAAACCCTAACGGAACCCTAAACCTTGATTGGATTCCTTGTGCCTTCAGGATTGCACAACTTTACGGAGTAACTAGTCGCAGTGTAACCTCCCATTGCACCTCGCCTGTGAGCTTTGTTCTCTGCCATGCGAGAGGGAAAAATGGAACCCTAAACCGGGCAGAGCAAAGTCGGTGCAGGCCAGAGGGCTACCTGCCCGACACGGGGCGACTTTACCCCGGCCTCTTTCAGCTGCCCGGATCCCAGAACCTTCGTTTTCTGGGCTTTGGGGTTTAGGGTTGAGTTAGGGTTTAGGGTGTAGGGTTGAGTTAAGATTTAATTAGGGCTGAGGATCGAGTTAGGATTTTGGGTTTAGGGTTGAGTTATGTGGGGTCCACAGTATCTGCACTTTGTATGTTCCTTGCGTGTTTCTTTTCCCTGCTTGGCTAACGATGGAAGTGTCCATCTCAGAAGCCCTAGTCCCCAGACTAGAAGCCTTAAGCCTCATAGAAGCCGACCTATATACCCTCCATGTTCAAGTCCTGAGCCGTGAGGGTGTGGGGTGTTCGAGGTTAAGGTGATTATTGGTTGGGGCTTATTGTGATGAAGAGTCGCAGGATGTGGGATTTTCTTATCACGCAGCTCCAAAGCCAAAATAGCCCTGAACCTAACGCGGTTGGCTTATCTCTGGGCTTCCGGCTCAGGTTGAAGTTCCATTAGCTTTGGTTGCGGATCGAACCTTCAAGGGGCTAGCGTGTTTCTGGTTAGGGCTTGGGATTTAAGGTGTACGGTTCAGGGCCTGGGGTTAAAGGAGCCTAGGGTTTAAAGGTAGTTAGATTGAAGCATCTTGCCATGGTCATACACAATCATGCAGGTCCAAGTCTCTTTCTCTACAAGGATTCCTTGTCCATCCCTGCCAACTCAAAACCTCCTGCTGGCTCGTACCCTGACTACGAAGCGGGTAGCTGCCGGAACCCATGAAACCCAACACAATCTAACCGCAAACCCTTCACCCTTTAAAGTTGTAAACCCTAAAACTAAATGGGGGTTTCCGAAAATTAGGGGTACCTTATTTTGGGGTCCTTATAATGAGGATCCTATAATTTAGGGTACTATATTAGGGTCCCCTATTTTCGGAAACCCCAAATGTGAAGGACCGGCTATCGCTATGGATGGCGATGTCCCTTTGTCGGAGGCATGCTGTGTTTCTGTTTCCGAAGTTGATGGCAACGTTGGCCTCTATCTTAGGGTCTTGAACACACATGAGGGTTTAGGGTTTAAGGCTTAGGGTCACATGAGGGTGTCGAGCAGTCTCGAAGCCTTGCTGCTTGCTTCTAGTGTGGTGCATGGTGCATGGATTTGTCTCCTGTGTCCCGTGGGACTGGATCAACCACTGTGGGTCTGGGTGTAGGGTCGGCTTGGTGCTTACTGCTAAGTTTACATAAGTGGTTGTCGAGATGATGTCTCGTCTTACTGTTCTGTGCGCAGAGTTCGCTTTGTTCTGGATTTCATGGGCAGTCGGGTGGGACTCCTCGGTTGGCTTCTAAGTTGTAGTAATGTTCATAGCATATTGCCTCTGGAATATGCCAACTGTTCTTTGCTTGAACAGTAGGTCCTTGACCCTGTAGCATGTTGCCTCAGGTTAAACTCCTCAACAAAACCATGGATAAAACGTGCTTTGATCCTATCCGTTCTCCAGCCTGAACTGGCCATTGAGGGCTTAAGGCGGCTTGAGGGTCTCGGTTGTGGGGGAGTTTAGCTTTCAAGATCGGCGGATCGTTCTCTGGATCCCGCCGTCGTTGGGTTGTGGAGCGAGGGCTTGATTGGGGTTTGGTCTTCAGGGTTTTGCTCTGTAGGCTGTCGTAAACCTGTCAACTCCTCTCCGCCTTGTTAGTGCCCATGCATTATGCATTGGGGCTTCATAGTAGGGGCTACGAGATAGGATTGACCCCCTATCACTAGAAACACACCCACACACCCACACACCCACACACACACACACACACACACACACGCACACACACACACACACCCACACCCACACAGACACACACACACACACACACAAGAAGGCTAATTTGTGAAGACCCCTCTCATTCTAGTAGGGAGCCCCAGATAGAAAACCGCAACCCCCACGCCCTAACAAGACTTGCCTTGGCATTAAGTCCTTAGAAGAGTTCTCGGTTCCAAAAGACGGCGAAGGCTTCAACCGGAGATACTTCGACGATCCCGTCCTGGACACCGGGATGGCCGGGATCAGTTGGCTGTAGAAGGTTTAGGGTTTAGGGTTTAGGATGGGTTTAGGGTTTAGGGCTTTGGGGAATGTTAAGCACATGGCAGGCAGAGTGTGCAAGGCCACGATTCTGTGACACCGATACAGCGCCATTGAGATTGATCGTGAAAGTTTAGGTGCCTTTGATGTCTCCGATACAGAGAGTACTTTCATTAACGTAGGGGCCTAAATGATTACCAAGATTATTTTGGGAGGTTCCTTATTATAACTATAGTAGAATGGGGCCCAAGACCCTATTCTAATTATTCGAACTATTAAGGCCCCTATATTAGCCAATTGGTTTTTTATTGAGTCGCCTTTCTCGGGAGACAGCGCGGCCGAGGTGTTCTCCCTAGGCTTTACTCATAGCTTTCTTCTGGCTCCTGGGTGCTCTCGGAAATCTGGCTGACATTGCGAGTCATGTTTATTTCATGCTTTCGGCGCTTACAATAGCCGGAGCCAATAGAAACAAATATAACTAGTTGCAACGCATATATTGAGACCTGGCTGTCTATGTTCCATGCAGGCCTTGGCATGTGAAGATTCGCGCGTGGCGCTGAGCCGACGCAACCTAGGGTATGCTGCGCATGACAAGAATTCAGGGCGGTTCAGGGTCTAGGGGTTTGACTAGGTTCAATATCAAAAAATGGTTTTGGGAAATCTACTAGAACCTAAACCTTCTGGGGTTTGGAGGATTGCACATGTTGGGTTGAGGGCTTCGTGCCTCGATGGGCTTCGCTTTTGCGGTGTGTATTTGTGAACCATATCTAAATGAGTATATTATGTAATTTACAGTATAATCGCAGCGCTCTCACTCACTCTCTCTCTCTCTCTGTTATATATACATTGTGTACTATGCTCCAATATGAATATATAGTATAGAACACATTACCTGGAAGATGGATCAGATACCTTGTTTTCTGAATCTCCAGATCCTTGCTGTGTTCCGGGCCAGCTTCGTGCACCACCTAGACACTGACCACGCCTAGACTCCTGGCCTTTTGGAGCAGTTTCCAGGCTGCTGTGATTCAACGGCTGTACAGGACTTAATACTAAACCCTACATCCTAAACCCTAAGCCCTACACCCTAAACCCTAAACCCTAAACCCTAAACCCTAAACCTTAAGACTAAGATGCTCTGGGTACCCTTGAGGCTGAAGACACGCAAACCACGAAGCCCGAACCCTTGCAGGGCAAATTAACTCTCACCCGCAAATTCCTCCATATGGGAGCTTTGATAATTACCTATATGATTTTGGGGGTTCCTTATTATGGTTATAGTATAACAAACCCCTAAACCCTGTTCTAATTTTTAAGGCTCCTACAGTACCTCCGAAACCTCAATCCGCCCGAAGCCCTGAACCTTTTCCTAACGCCTACAGCCCGCGATCAGCTATGCCCTCGCACTTGGACCTACGTTCCCAGCATCCTCGGGTTAAAGGGTTTCGGGCTTGTGCAAGACCAAGCAAGCCTGGATGAACAACTTACAGTCGGACTAAGACACCCGAAACAAGGCAGTTTAATGCGTTGAGGGTAGAGGGACTCAGATTCAGTTTTTTCTGGCTAGTAACTAATTATAAGTTCAGAGACGTTTTAAGGTTCAGCCTCTGGAGTCTTATCGGATGTGGCACACGGGGAAGCACACATTGGAGGCAGGGTTTGGGGCAATAAGATGTTCCAGGTTTTCCTTGAAAACGCCAGTGAGGATGGGAGATGGATGTCGTCGTGGGGCGGTTTTACGTGCGCCGGCCTCGGCCAAATGCCGTAAAGCCTAATAGCCGCCAGATCAGATACGTTAAGTGGCATAGAATGTTCAACTTTTTCGGAAATCTGCTAAGCCCTAAGTATCCCCGAATATCTATGTTGAAGTTTAAGTCCGCCTCACTGCCCCGTCGTTGCACTCCAGTGTTTCTTTTTCAGCCGGTGTCAGCGGCCATCCCAATCACAAAGCCATGTGACGCAACACCTTCGAATGTAGAAAGTTTTCGTTCAAGAATTGAAAGAAACCCCATCCCTTGGATACTGCCCCTACTCAGCAACAGTTGAATAACACTTATAGTAAAGCCATCTAAATAACGCTATTATGGACTGTTACAGTATGGGGGCAGTACTCAACCCATCCCTATAACCATACAGAGCTTCTGATCGAGCCCTCCGACCCGAAACTCCTGAACCTCATTCCCACATGTTTTAGCCCTAAGCCCTAGTTCAACCCACGCTAACTACACCCCCAAAATCCCTGATCCCAGCTTGAGCCTTAAGCCTTATAAACTGCACCTAAATCCTAGACCGCTGAATGCCCCAAGCTCTAAGCCCCACTAAAAACCCTAGCAAAAAGCCAAGGCTCACTTAAAGCCCGACTTTCAAGCCGCATTCATGCTCTAAGCATGCTACACCCATTCAAAAACCCCAGGAACCACAAACTCCACATTGAACCCTCGAGCCATAATCCCCGACTTAGATCCTAAAGCCCCGAGATGTTCACCGTTTCACCGACTTGAGGCCTAAGACGCTATCACAGTACAACATCGACATGCCACTGAAACGCTGAGACCCTGAACCCTCCACCCAATATAGGGGCCTAAATGATTACCAACACTACTTGGAGGGCTCCTTATTAAAATCATAGTATAATATACCCCAGACCCTATTCTAATTATGAAGGCCCTTATATTCAGCTAAACGAGTCGATCTTCCCAATTGCTCACAGGCGAGTGCAGTACGGAGATCCGGGTCAGGGAGGTCTTGGGTGCTTGCTTGGGCGTTCCTTTAAGTAGGGCTTAGGTTTGTGTTGGGTTCCTTTACGGCTTCGTTTGGCGGGTTTTCTAAGGGCCCTTAAGGAAGTTTCGGCAGTCGTCTATAGTTCAGGGGGCTTTTTGTGCCTTCTTGATGATATGTTGGGCTCTGAGCGCATACTATGGAATTTGGGATATTGGCCTACCTCCAGTTCATTAAGGGCTTATCAGCCTTATTTTCGTCCTGAAAGGAGGGACCCGAAGATAGACCCATTATAGCACGAGTGGTCTCAGGATCTGTTCTTCTGGCTGCAGGGCAGGCTTCGGCTTTCGGTGTTTTGAGTTTAGGGTTTTAGGCGGTTGGATTTGACGCTGTCTAGGCTAGCGGCTTCAGGAAACAAGCCGAGTATCTTCGATCGACCGTTGTCGAAACAAAATGGGTCCTGCTTGCTCTTCGTTGTTGTATCAGTTCGGTCACGGTTTCGAGCTTCAAGCTCCTGCTTCTTCATTTACAGCGTCAGATCCCCGACTCCTTAAATCTGGCACTGGGTGCCAAATCACAGGACAGACATGAACCTAAACCCCTAAACCCCTAAACCCCCAAGCCGTATACCCAAAGCCCTATGCCCGCCGACTGGTCCGAAAACAACCCCAGCTGCGCTCCCAGTACACCGAGAACCTCCAGCCACCAAAAACACGAAAACCAGAAGGACTCTCCCGGCACCTCAAGTAGGAAGGGGTAGATGGCCTTCCATTTATATGTATTTAGGGTAAGCCAGGAGAACAGATGAAAGGTTTGGGGTTCGGGATATGTCCATGCCTCGATTTGTCGAAACATGCAGGCGAAACGGAAGGCTGTCGACTCGAGGATGTGTCTGCCGACGCCGGGTGGCGGTCTCAGGGCGCTTTCTGCGTATTTGGCTGCCGTTTGTTGTTCTGAGGGGTTTCTACTGCTGTCTACAAGATCATTCGGGGAGTTGTTGATTGGTCACTTGACGTTGTAGGATCCTTATTATGTACGGACCCCTGATTTGAGTTCTCTATCTTAGCTCGTTTTGGGGTGCCGGGGCCTGCTCTAAGCATTTCGTTTGAGAGCTGACCTATCTGGAGACCCTCATGTATGCTTTCTATCTGGAGGGTTGGTTTTGATGGGAAGAAATATAGGGCCTTAACAATCAGAATAGGGTTTGGGGCTACATGATACTATAATCTTAATAAAGAACCTCCAAAATAGTATGGGTAATTTTTCAGGCCCCTATACTAGGGTTATCTGACTTGAATTGCAGGTACGTACTGTGGCTATAGTCGCCTGGACCCCAAACCTGGAGATCATGAGCTCGAAATTTTTAAAGCCAGGAGCCCTGAAAGGCTAAAGCCCGAACCTTCAGACCCCGAACCCTCTACCCTTATCGCCCCGAGATAGTAACAAGATCCAATCCTCAAACCATTAGGCTCCACCTGAACATCCAAACTTTGACAAGCCCAATAGCCATAGAACTCTATATAACTCTGCATGAATCCTTCATACACCACCCCCTGTGACCAAAACAACCCGGAGCCTTGAAACTCTGGTCACAAGTTCAAAATCCCAGAAATCCTATACATCTATAAACACCTAAACTGACCTAAACCCTAAACCCTGATCCAAGGCCCTAAATTCCCCAAACCCGGTTTTTCAAGCCCAGGAGCTACGACACCTTTTCGACGCCGGACAAGGAAATGAGAGTTCCCGTCTTCGACGCCCGCAGCTTCCCCGGATTCCTTCCATGAGTTGTTGGTATAAGGTTTAGAGTTTAGGGTAGAGCAGGGGGCAAGCTTAGAGTCTGTTCCCACAAAACCGTTTGACATATAATTTAAAATTTAGGGGCCTCCATATTTACCTTTCCTGTTTTGGGGGTTCCTTCATATCGTTATAGCACAAGAGGCCCCAAAACCCTATGCTAGTTATTAAGGCCCCTACATTACTATTAGCATTGAGGGTTTAGGGGTTGTCAGATTCTTGGACTTAAGCTCGAATCACGAAGGTGTTGTTTCACAAGGCTGTGTATGGTGCCCTTAGTCCAGTTTGAGGATTTAGGGTTTAAGCGATGTCGGGCTTCAGAGCTCTAGCGTTTAAGGATGTAGGGTGTTGGGCCTTTGAGGATGTAAACCCTGAGCCCTAAACCCTAAGCGCTAAACCCGAAACTCTTAAACCCTAAACCCTAAACCCTAAACCCCAATTAGATCTAAATTCTAAACTCTAGGAGCCTTGGGGTTCAAACTCCCAGGTCCCCCTCTTTCGGAGGGCGACTCGGTAGCTCCGTGATGCTGAAGCATCGCAGGGGTCGTCGCATGAATACGTCCGGCGTCGGGCTTGGGGTCTCGGATTTAAATTTAGGGTTCAAGCTTCAGAGCTCCAAGCCCTGACTTCCAAGAACGGGTGCGACACGTCCAGGCAGGATTAGCGCAAGCCTGTGCAAAAAAAAGAACCCTGTAAGCCCTGATCCTTGACTCCTCCCAAGGCTTGGGAGTTCTACGCTTGCGTAGAGCCCTAAACCCCTAAACCCTAAACCGAAACCCTAAACCCAAAAGCCCATAAAAAAGGAATAGCCTACGGCCCTAAACCCCTAAATCCTAAACCGAAACCCTAAACCCAAAAGCCCACAAAAAAGGACTACAGAATTTACGGCATCAGACCGAGCCTTTTCCCGCAGCACCCTGATTGCTGATAAGTCGTGCGCTCCTTACAACATTGGCCTTTGGGGTTTTGTAGCTTACTCTCTTTATACAATGGGCTCTTACTCTATTTATACAATAGGCTCTGAATCTATTTATACAATGGGCTATAACTCCTAGCCCCTATATACATGTAGTATTCTTTACCCCCGCAAGCCCCTAGGCTAGTCAGTACACCTCATGCAGTTTCTATCTTGAGCCCACATTCTCCGACGACCTTGAGGTGCGATTATACCTGAAGCCCTGATCCTCTAACCCTTTCCGTTAAATCTCAGACCTGAAGCCCTGAACAAAACAGAAATGTACCGAACACCAAAGCCGCAACATCTCCAAAAGCCTGCGGAACGTTTACTACTGCGGTACCCGATGTTACTGGGGAAGCTCTCCAGGTCTGACCTTCAATGGATCTGCACAGAGTGGCTGCAGCTCTGTTTCGGCCCGGCGTCTTGGGGAATGCAGGGGTTAATATGTAGAAGCCTGAATAATTCACAACAGTACCTTGTAGGTTCCTGATTATGTATAGCTGTCCTATAGTATATCCTAAACTCTGAACCCTAGACCCCTTAACCTTAAACCTAAACCCCTAAACCCCTAAACCCCTAAACCCCAAACCCTAAACGGGCTCGTCCTTGCCATGTAGGAGGAAAAAACCCTCTAAACCCTAAACCCCTAAACCCTAAACCCTGATATCATGTAGGACCCAGGGGGCCTAGGACTTCAGAGTGAGCGCCTCTGTGGTTCGAGTTCAGATACGGGAGTTTGAGACAATCAGGGTTTAGGGTTTAGGG